AAAACGGCAGTATGTCATTTTACTGTTGGTTTTAAATTGTGTATGAAAGTTGAAGAATTCACTGTGATGTAATATGGGTAATTTAGGTAATCTATTAATTTTGAATTAAAATATTTATTTTAAATCATTAATTGTGGTCAAAGGCTAAAATCCCAAACTATATTATGAAATGGACCATTTGCCCCAATTACCACAATTACGATTTCTTCTCACTGCAAATAGATGTAATTGAATGTTCTTTTATCATTTATTTTTTCGTTGACTTTGAAACTTGAAACAACACCAAGAAGACGGAATAACAAAGTTGTAACTTGTAAAAAGAATAGTTTCCTAGGTGAAATTAAATTTTTGTTTAACTAATAAAATAGCAATAGGTGAGAGGTCCCAAGTTAATAGTAACTAGAGGATCATCTTCTGGTGCAAATCCCGTATAAAAGAAAAGAAAAAACGACTCAACATCTGATGAGCTTGATAATCTACTTATATTATCAAAGTCTGCATCAAGACTCGCAACCAAGCAATAAGAAGACAATGCAATTTTCACACCAGCAACGCTGTAATATTATGTTACAAACGTTCTTCTTTCATCAAGTACAAATTATAGAGTTAAACAACATGAAGAAGAAACAAAACAGCGTCGGACTAGAAAAATACAAGAAGTGAATAAACTCTACCAAATGACATTCAATTACGTATAGTAGCTCCACAAACCTTTCTTGATTTTCAGAACAAAGGCTTGATATGGAGGTTGTGGCACTTTTAACTTTCAAATGTAATGTTTACAGGAAAACCTAGAGTTAACAAGACTAAGGGCTTCAAGGAGTAAATACCATAATCAAAAGTATAATAGCACTAGGTTACTTAGCTTCATGCTCCATGACAGGATTTTACTTCCAGAATTCATCCAAGTCATGACCTTACATGGGTGGCAATGAGAACATGCTTACGGTGGAGCTTCCACTACGGATTTCCCTTAGAGTCCGTAAGGCTGACATAGTAAGCCTCATGTACATGTTTTCCATGTTTTCAATTGCTGAAAGTTCTTCAGGCACTCTAAGATGTTTTTCTGAATCCTCAGTCGCAGCCCAGTCACTGCAACCTTCTTTCTGACCATTCTCTTCTGGAGGGGTCAATTGCTCGTGCCACGAGAAGATGCGGTAAATCATTATCTCACACTCCTTCACTAGATTATTTAACACTTCAGTTCTAAAGAATGGCTCGTGCAGAACCTTTTGTATGAAAGGTAGTCGCATGAGTTCCCCACTTAGCTTGTCATATTTTTTCAAGATCTTCACTAGTCCTGCCAGAAAACCAATAAAAAGTTCAGAAATTATGAACCCTGACTTCCTAAAATGTGTATACCAGATCCCATAATTTCTGCTCAAATGGAATTAGAGACTAGTCATGGTAACAATACCCACCACAAAATAGTAAAAGCAAAAAAAATTTTTGTCCACAACTATTTCTACATATCAACAATTTCTGAACTCAAACCTCATCAATAATTGTCTCCCTAGATTCCACTAAGAGCAATCATGAATAGGATCTGTACCACTATGGAAGTTTACCCTCAAATAGAATACCATCACTTTCACATTTACTACATGAATAAACATATTTTATTAGTTTGCACATCTTAAGGACATCGTACACTGCATTGACTAGGTAGTTCCTCGTCTTCACTCACTTTTGAGGAATTACGGGTATCTCTCGTGCAATTGCCAAGAAAGACGCAATAAGTTGAATGGATGTCTTAGTTCAAAATTGAAGAAACTGGCAATTATAAATAAAACAGTACAGGGAATTTTCAGATGGAAATGAAAAAAAAAAAAAAAATCTCTCTCGCTAACTCGACATCATAAAAGAACGTTGTCCATCTCTCTCTCTCTTTCACTTACGCATTCTACAACACTCCTGTCACCTCTCTTTCCATATCTCCCTCATTCTTGACAAATACATAATAGAAGTTGTGCTTTCAATTTTCCCCATTTAACATAATGGATGATCTGGATCAACTATTGGTTAGCAGAAACGAAATGTGAAAGAACCATAAAAGAATTGCTATACATATATATGGATGTTTAACCAGCCTTCTTTAACGTGGGGTTTTCTTGTCCATTTTTTTAATATATTTCATTTATTAAAATAGAAAGGGTTGTCCCTGCATACAAGGAATACTCAGGAACTCAATCATGGTCCAAAACTATCAATGAAGTCCATCCACATATCTGTAAGTGTATGAGTGGATTGCCTACTCCAATAAAAGAAAAAAAAATATGGAAAATATTAAAAAGCTCCAGGAAAATGTTGTTCTATCCAATAAAAACGAGATATTTACAAGTTCTAAAAAGATCCCAATATAATCTGGAAAAACATTTATTCTTCTCCTCTGCTTGATCTCAGTTAAAACACAACCTCAGCCCTTACAGGAAGTGAGAAAAGAAAATAATCTCACCGGTAACACTTCAGTAGGGAAGTCTATATAAAGAGAATTTGAAGAAAATATCAATCTTACTGGTTCATATTGCATCAAGTAGGAACCTTTGTTTCCCATAACTTCTAATCTTAAATACGTATATTTGAGTCAAGAAAGCTCCTGATCAACTTATGATCAGATTAAGAGATAAAATGTTACGGTTACCATTTACGATGAGCAGATAGATAACAAAAACTCTTATACTATAACTGGTAACATGGCAATTATCAGCCATAACAACCATCCACTTAACATAAATACGCACATTCACGAGGGAGCAAGCCATTTACAAATATTAAGGCATAATAAGAGGCTGGAACCTGTATAGTTTAGAGCACTGTAATTCTCCAACAGAATCATCTCTCCATGAAAATCTACTATCTTTCTTCCTATTTTCATCAGCTCTACCTCTGAATCCTTAGCTTCTGCAACCTCTTCTTTTAGCATCTGTATTCAACCGAAACTCAAATAGTGAGAAAGGTTTATATCAGTACAGGCCACACGATTCCATTAAAACACCATGTAACTTTATTATGAATTATATCTGTATTATCTCCTATTTTCTCGACTTTACACACATTTTCTTTCCTTTTTCTCCGTTTTTTGGTGCAGTTTACCGATTCCTAAAATTCATAATCTACCCAAAACCAACAGAAATAATGACAGAGAAATGTAAAAATTGAATACTCGTAAAACATAAAATAATACCAAAAAAAAATAAGAATAATGAAGAAGAAAGGTAAACCTTCAATCTAATAATGTAAAATTCTTCTTTATCGACGAAGAACCCATTAAATTTCTCGATCTCCTTTTCCAAAAGTTCTAGAAAATCAATTATTTCCTTTGTCACCTCATCCCCATCGTCACCACCTCCGCACACAGAATCTCCAACTTCCTTTTCATCATCACTCAATCTGGGCCGTTTATTTGGCCTCCCATTAGTATAAATGTCACCATTTTCATGATTTTTGCACGACCCTTGTATGGGATAAATCAATTTCAGCTGTTTCTTCAAATCTTTATATGATAAGAACTTGTCTTGCCAATCTGGCAATGTTTCATTTATCTGATTGCACAGAATCTTCCAAAATTTCATGTTCCCTCACACACCCTATAAAAACTCTCAAAAATAGAAGGAGAATACCGAAAAACGTAGAAGATGGACTGATGGAGAATGGGAAAGATGGGTATTTGGGTGTGTATATATTTATATTCTGTGGAGCCTATAGGTGGATTTTTTTAGAGAATATTCGATGGCTTGACGAAGTAAATGACAATAGCTGAATAGCACATGGGAATATCCATAGAGCATATATATTTCGGAGAAGTTAGTATTCCCTTTGATTTGAACGAAAAGTAGGCATGACGATGGGGCGGGTTTTGATCGGACATTTTTGTTATCTTATCCTATCTCCATACTCATTTAAAGTGGGACGAGGCGGGTTCAGGGCGGGAAGGGGGAGTTCCTGCCCCATTTATAGGCCCATTTATTTTTTCTTTATTTTATTTATTTTATTTTTTATGTTTTTACTTAGTAAATATTATTAATTTTTTACCAATTTGTTAGAAATAATTTATGTTCTCCTTAAAAATATGATAAATTTATTATTTTTGTTTGATAAAAAATTTAAATTTGAAATTAACTTTAAACGGGACGGGTAGCGGAGTGGGGACTATGATTCCCGTACCCGTCCCGTTCGGGGCAGGGCCCCACTGTTTCTGATTAAACGGATTTTTTTGTCATCCCTATCGAAAAGTTTGACGTCGTTGGTTTCTGATAATTTTTATTCAATAAATTTTATTCTATTGTATCATTTATATCACAATTTATCCATTAATTTACCAATAGTTGATAGCCGGTGTTTGATTGAATCAAAATCTCACCACAAAATTTATAAAAAAAAAATCTCTCACACACTCCTTTTTTGACACCTTATCTATATATGAAATATTACATTATTTCATTGTGTACAAGTAGAATTATTTTTATTTTTAAGAGTCAACCCTTCAAATTATGCTCAAGAAACTCTTTAAATTAACATTTTATAATAGAGGGTTTATTTGACTCTCTTACTCTATATAATTAAATGCATCCATAATATTTCAATTTGTAATAGAGAAAAATAATATAATCATTTGGATGAAAGTTAGTGAAAATAAAATATAAGAAAAAGCAATTAAAAAAATTTGGAGTAGCAAAATTAAGTATAAAATAAAAAGAGCCCCCGTTGGGGTACTTACAATTTTTTTATTCTCTAAAATTATAGATACTTTTTAAATTACAAAATATGATCTTTAAAAATGAAAAGTTTTTTGGGGATGCTCTTATCAAAATGATAAATGCATGTTCTGTTTATTCTCCCTCCATTCCCACGAGATATAGAATTCATTTTTATTTTATTTGTTTCAAAAAATTCTTCTAGAAACGGAAATTATTTCAAAGAGATCTTTAATATTATGATATGTGGTATGCACTTGTCCCACACTTGTATATCAATATTATGATATTATAAGTTAAAATAATACGATTACAAATCTTTATCTTATCTTCTTATGGAAGGGTACAAGGAAATTTATCATCAATATGATGATGGGAATGAAAATAAGAAGCACGAGTCTGGCCTTCGTTTTCCAAAATATCAAACCATCATTTATAAACTATTTTAACGTATATCAATAAAGTACTTGGTTTATTTCTTATTCAACTTGTGTTGTAAAAGATAATAATACAACTCTCGAACAAAATGCTCGTACAACTATTATACCAAATTTTATATCTGCATGCACAAGTGAACATTAATTACTTGGCATTGAGGCAGGCCCGGTTCTGACGCGAGGCCAATGAGGCCCGCGCCTCAGACCCAAAGGTGGAGGGGGGCTAATTTTTTGGCCCCCAAATTTTTTTTTTTAAGCGAGGCCCAGCCCAACACCGCAGGGCCTCACAGAATTTTGGCCCAAAAAAATTTTTTTTTTAATAACTTAATTGAATTCAATTTCACCCCATCGCCTAATTTAATAATCTAACTTGATATTGAATATATTAAAAATATTTGAAGCCTTGTCGGCTTATATAATTATGGTCTGGTCGGCTTATATAATTGTGGTATGGTCGGCTTATAGGGTGTTCAAAGATTGCATGTAGGATCAATTGCACGGGCGCACGTAGTCACTGTATTGAATAATTTAATTGTGAGATGATTGGGACATTTTATTATTGTCTTTTAGGCTAATGAATATATTAAAAATGTTTGAAACATTGTCGGCTTATACAATTGTGGCATGGTCAGCTTATATGAATGTTCATTGTAGTCAGTAGGATCAATTGCACAGGCGCACGTACTCACTGTATTGAATACTTTAATTGTGAGATGATTGGGACATTTTATAATTGTCTTTTAGGCTAATCATTATGTATTAGATATGTTGTTCTATTGTTCAGTGTTCAGTTAGCAATACGTTGCATAATACACTGTTGAATTTTGCATTTACGTTGATTTTTTTTGGGGGGGGGGGTGTGGAGAGGGAGGGGGGCCAATTTTGGGAGTTCGCATCGGGCCCCGAAAAATCACAGGACCGGCCCTGCATTGAGGGGTATGATTTTTCCCAAACCTTCGAGTTCTTGATTTCACACGTATAATTCACCATAATTTCATGGACATGCACATCACTTGCATGCTTCTAACCGAATTTCAAATTGTAAAAGTTACTTGAAATTTCAAAACGTGGTTGAATCACTTGCCTTTGATTTGTTTGCTTTGTACATTGTCCTGTATTCGCTCCTTGATCAGAAACTCGATTACAAAGGAAGGAATTTAATGTTTACAATCCAAAAACCAAAATCCATTTCCCAACCCTGATATGGAAGTTAATTGGGAGAAACAGGTTGGATAATGGTGGAAGTTAATGGGGAGAAATAGGTTGGATAATTAAAGTTTATATCTAAAACACCCAACCCATGGAACCCTGATATAGAACTAATTAATGCTAGTTTGTCTCCTTTCTGACTTGGTTATTTCGATTGCTTATAATTTGACAATTGTTACCAATTATGGTTTAATTTGGAACTCAAAGTCCCAAACTAATAATGTAACGCCCCTACTTGCATGGACCGAAACATCGCTAGAATAATTAACTATACTTTTCATCGTATGCATAAGAATTTAATTTAAAAATTGACTTAAGAATTTTGGTATGATCAACAATTAAATATATGCATAACCTAGACTATACGATTACATAAGAAAATTGGTTTTTAAATAATACTTAGAGGTCATGGTAAAATCTCGATTGTCTTGCACGTGTTCGGCTATGATGAGAAACTTACTAGTAAGTAATCATTTAAATAAAAACCAATATAGACATACATAACCCATATGCTAGGTGATTTTCATAATCGAGGTTAAATCTTATCCTTTACTTTAAATATGTGATTCCCCCATCTAATGCATAGAAATTTTCTCAATGAAAATTATTGATACACATAATGAATTAAGTAAACAAAACTAGAAACTAAACACTAGAATATTAGCAAAACGTGGCTTGATTGAAAATTAACAAATCATTAAAGCACAGTATTTGTTTTTTGGCCACTGGTTTGAACAATTTTCCATGCATATACTTTATTATTAACGTGAACAGTCGGGCATGCATACATTTTGACAGTGAGTGAGAAGAATTCTGCTTCGTTTTTCTATTTCACACGACAAGTGTCAAAAAGAAATTCGTTTGTATAGTTATTGACCTAGAAATTTCATGACATTTTAAGAAAGAGTAGAAAACTTCCTATAGTATAACATAGCCAAAAATTAGCTTCCGTTGACAACATCTAAGGCACTAAAAAAAATTTCAAAACCTCACAACGATTCAATTTGGAAGAAAAACTAGTGCACTTTACTTAAGGTGAAATATAAAATTTTATAGATATCGGATTAGCGTGGTTTCAAGCTTATCCGGTAGCTAACTCATGAGACTATCAAAGCCCACTAGTTTCATCAAAAAATTCCAAGTAACGAATGAGCTACGAATTTTTGAAATCCAGGACAAAAGCTAGAAACTTAAAACAGCAACAATGAACTTATTGCTAACTTTTATGTAAGAAATGGGAAACTTGTAAGTTAATCTATAGTAAACATAACTAATTCATGAAAAGGCTTTTTTATAATAGATCCACAAATAATATACTCATCGAAATCTTATTATTCAGAACAGAAACATTTTTTTCATACTCAAAAACATTTAGTCACCTAGCTTCTCGGTAGCATGTTGTCCCATTATCTACCCTCATCCATGCCCCAAGTAAAATAAATCAACCAATAGGAAGGGAATTAACCCATGAGTTGAAACTCAGTATCATAGGTGCATTTTGTTGTCAAACTAGAAAATTTGAACTACAAATTCATACAGTAGCATGTAGATGGATTTCTGGCAAAAATCCAGTTCTAGAGAATTATCATAACACGTAGAGCCGGAGAATGATCATTCCAACTATAGTAGTACCGAAGCACGGTACCCCGAAGGCACCAATTCGTTCATACTTTAACAAAAATTCATAACTTGAAAATGAAATAATCACATAGACCTCTAACTACCTTAGTTTGAAGATTTTGAATGGATGAAGTTGGATGGTGAATATTGTTTCCCGACGGCACCCAACGCTTAAAAAAATCTGCCTCTCTTCTTTTTCTTAATTTTAAATTCTTTTTCTTGTTTACAATGTGTACGTCCGTGTATAAAATGGTACATAAATAGTAGAAGGGATAGGAAGGCTTTAGAGCAAATGAAAAGTTAATTCCACTTGGTCCTTAGATGAAAAATAAAACGTTAGCTGTCATTTACCACTCAAAAGAGAATTAACCATGCATTTTTATTGGAGGTTTAATGCATTAGTTACCAATTAAAGAAAACGTTTCATCCCATATATATTCCTCTGTGTGTGTTTGTGTGTATAGGGATGGCAAAAAAAACCGCCCCGCCCCGCCCCGACGGTGCCCCGCCCCGAATGGGGCGAAAAAAACCGCCCCGACGGGGTTGGCGGGGCGGGGCGGGGCGATATGGGGTGCCCCGGCGCGGGGCGGGNCCCCGCCCCGCCCCGCCCCG